TAAGTCAGTGTGATTGCATGACACTGGTGATGGGGATGCCATACAGATTCATGTCAAAAATCCCGAACTATCCCTTTAATGTTCTTTTTGCTCAGATGTGGTTTTCAGACTTGGAACACATGCAGCCATTTTTGCCCTGTCTCTTTCTAAAGGTGGAGGCATAAACACTGAAAATAAACACCCGAATGAAGACAATGTTCACACTGCAAGCCTTAATGCTCAATTCAGATTTTTCTGAAAACTCAGATTGTTCTGCATGATTGTTTCACATTTCCAAATATTTGCAACTTGTAGGTGATTTCCAGAGTGAATGACTTTCATAAAACTTAAGTGTCTCATATGAGTAGTAAATGACTCAATGACGTTAAAAGTATCAAGCGTGCTGTGTGTTTATGAATGTAAATATAAAGATGGCGCTAGAGCTCATTATCTTTTCCATCCGGAGCCAGAACATCAACAAAGACGTTCAGATTGGATAAATGCGACCTGGCTGCTAAAAAAAACAGGTCGCATTTGAAAAGATCAGACGTGCATCAGATTTAGGACCATATAGGGTGCAGCAACTTTTCACATTCAGGGTGACCTATGAAAGTTGTAAGAGAACTGTAACGAAAAGTGCGACAGTGCTCATTTAACACATTTAACATGTTGTTTCATCGACAGAGACATCATCCTAGTGTGACCATTGAGAGGAAGGGTCACACAAACCTAGTATAACGACGAGTCAGAAAGGGCAAAGGGCTCTTGCTGATTTTTGTCACAGCAGTTTAATTATTCCTCATCTGCATTACTTACCTCTTTGCAAAAATCAGATGCGTTTTTCTCAGATTCAAACATCAAGGACCAGTTCTGCCTCTGGTCATCATAAAAGGTGCAATATTTGTTCAGCTGTACCTGCAACACACACAAAAGAGCATTTGCACCAGATAGTTTTCTAAACATTATTTTACTGCAAATTCTTAGCTTGATTGTATTGCTTAGTTGTATGATACAGACCGTAAAAATAAAGCCCAAATGAATCCTGGCAGCAGTCACTGGTTTCTGTTGGCTCAAATACAGCAGAAGCTTGTACTACAGAAATAAAATTAAATACAATAGCCATTAAAACCAAAAGTCCAACCAATAATCTCACACAAGAAGCCAAACTCAAGGCCTACCTCTCTTGTTGCATGGTTGCCCAGAATAGCAGCTCCCAGTTTTCCTTGCTTCACATATTGTCCATTAATGCTGCATGAGGCAGAAAAAGGGATCGGTAATAACGGAAAATAAATCATGTACCTGAAGACGGTTAAACTCACTATTTAAAGGCCTGAACTGCTGAGGCATGTAACACTGTAGGAGCTCCAGGCTGTTTCTGACTCTCTGGTGCTTTAAATATGAGAAGAACATCATCAGTGGAGCCTCCACATCACATTCAGTCATGTTGTTGGTCTTTTGATCTTACCGAGATTGGAGGCCTTCCTGGGCTGCTTGGGGGCTGTATATTGGAAGGACTCGTTTCCTTGACTGGTTTCCTGGTCCAGTCCAAAAAGGGAGGCCAACTTAGCTCTGTAGAAACATCCCATTGAAAAGCATCAATAAAAGTATATAGATAGTGTTCAATGTATTTAATGATCAATAAAGGAAAACCCAACCTTTGAATTAAACAGTCAGTAAACTCATTATCTTCCAATTCTACCCATTTACATCCACCAATAAATTATCAAAAGGAAAAACAACGTCACTTTGGGCTATAGGAGCCTGAAGGAGCGGGTTGGTGAAAAAAAATATCCATATTTTCCAAAAATCTTATCTTCGTAAATGAAAAATGTCATTAATAAAATCAATTAGCCGATTCCAACCATAGTGGAAGCCGAGCTGGAATCATGGACCAAGGAGGAAAGAATAAAATCAGCAAATGTGTTAGATGCTCAGCAAAGAGCACTGAAAACCAACTGGAATTGAAAATAGAAACTCATCCTGCTTCATCAGATTGACTTCAGTCTTCAATTTTCCTTGCTGTAAACTGATGACTCGATCCGGACAAAAGACTCTTAAGGGAAGTCTAGTTGTTGGAGACCAGTTTGTGCATTTCATCAACAGCACTTGGCTTAGTCACCTCATTTTATTTGGCATCACAGCATTTCAAATAAAAATGTATTTCTTCATGTTGAGTAGTTTGTGTTTGATAAATAGTGACATTCTGCTACCGGTATCTATATTGCAATTTCAGGAAACAATCTTAAACTTTGAATTGAAAGCAGAAGTACTTTACTTTTTTTTTTTTTTTTTTTTTACAATTTTTAACAGCAATCTTTAAAAATCTATTCATAGTGTTCCTTAAAATAATTTATAATTTATATAAAGTCTTTACCACTCGACTTGAAGTTTTTCACTTAACAGTTTCACTGATTTAGTATAAAAAAAACACCAATTTGCAGTCACTAAAACATTTATTCGCAAAAAAAAACAAGCATAAGCAAAGCCAAATTTCAGAGTTTCGAATTCGACAACCTCTAACAGTAACAACTGCCAACACGGTTTTGGTCACGGTTGATAAACCAGCCAATTTTGCCAGGCTCATACTGACCCCTGGAACTCCTTCCACTGGTAATCACTTGTGTCTCCCAGAACAGACATGTTGAATGTCCTGAGGGCCTCATCTCCAGTGATAAAGGCGATCTGGGATGAGGAGGGACAGCCCCTTTGCATGCGAGTCAGATTCCTTGTGCTGTTCTGTTCCAGCTCCTTGTTCCAGGGCAGACCCCCAAACTCTGTTCCCTCGTGGTGTCACACCAGAGTGGGAGATTCAACAACATCGCAGGAAAGGACAGAGGTACTGCAGCTGTAAAGCCGAGTCTAAGCTGAGCAGGCAGGGTATAGCTGGGGCTTTCAAGGGGACTCTAACAAGTCGCATGTGAAAGGAATTAGGTTGGGAAAAAATGGGTGGGGGAAACGACACTCCCCACTTTTAAGGCAGGACATCCATTGGTGGCCGTCATCCTGCTGAAAGCACAGGATACTTATATGTCTGAGATTTGCTAAAGCTGTAAATGATGCCTGAGAAGCCAGAATTCTTTATGGTGATTTAGCTTGTTTTATAACAAAAGGCTTGTTGTTGTTATTATGTGTGACCTGAGGCAGCCGGGAAGGCTGACAAGCCTCAGTCATGATCACTGCAGGGTGGATGAGGGCATGTGATCACTCATCCATCAGGGATAATGCAAGAGTTTAACAACCACTTTAATAAAGGGCTATTTCACAGTTTATACACAACTTCAGATTACAATTCAGGTCGTCTGCAAAACCAGAAAAAGTTAGTGAACGAATGGATGTGATACCCTCACAGACCCACTGAGATTTTATTAAAAAGCAGAGTAAAAAAAAGTAAATTTTAAGCCTTTTTTTTCTTCATATTTTGATGGGTTAAACCGGGTTGCATTTATTCTGCTTTCGCTTACTGTACAAACAGACTTTTAGTAACACAAAAGCTTCAATAAGTTTTTTAAGCGACTTAAAAAAAAATAAACTACCAACCACAAAACCACTGTATTAAACAAAAAGAAAAACAAGTTTAAAGCTTTATTCAACATCTCCACAAACTTAGATCGGGCTCATCCTTTAAAGCTGGAAACTTTCGTCTGTCTCTGGATGAAGCAACCAGAGTTAGAGGTTTTAAAGAAGGAAAGTAGTTTATGTTTAGAGGTTTTATAGAATATTACGCTGGATTTCAAACCCGTTAAGGAATTCCGGATAAAATAGGCTTTGTTCTCTAAAGGACAGCAGGTCACCAAGTGCTGCTAAGCTAGTTAACTAGCATGCTAATCAGCGTAGCTCGGTTAGCGAAACGAACTCACCCTCCTGTTGGGGACAGAAAGTCTCCGTCTTCATCTTCCCCGCCAAACATCTTTAAGCTTCAGCACTTCTCTTATCAAGTAAAACGAGCACAAAATAGCACTATATTAGCATGGCTGTTTGTCACTTCCTCTTCCTGTTTGGGATGAAATCAGCTGACTCCCCACCTGATCCTCCGTGACTGTTCCTATAACAAGTATGTCACAAGGAGGCGCTGTAGAATTTCAAACAACAGGTGCTGTGCTTTCTGTCTTCTTCTTCTTCTTCTTCTTCTTCTTCTTCTTCTTCTTCTTCTTCTTCTTCTTCTTCTTCTTCTTCTTTTTTTAATAAACTTTATTAAATTTTGTAATACAGAAAAAATACAATTTACAGTGAACAGTCACCAGGGGTTTGAGCAAAAAAAACAAAAATAAATAAATAAAATAAAAAGTAATTAAATAAAAGTAAAAAAAAATAATAGTAAATAGAAGCATCTAAAGGGATTATATAAATACTTTAAATTTAGAGCATAAAGTTATAGTTTTAGCAGCTTTCTTATTATTGGAGGAGGACAATGTAGAAAAATAAGTAGTTGCTTCCTTTAGAAAAGAAATACAGGAGGGTTTAGTCACAATAATTTTACATTTGTGGATATAAAACTTGTCCAACAGTAACAAAAGATTACATAAGAAGAAATGTTCAGAAAGTTCTTTTTTATATTTTGTGATAACAGCGGTGAACGATCTTAAAGGAAACCTCTTTAACCTTGTTTACTAGTAAATATTTATTAGGTAAAGACCAAGTTTTGTTCCAGCATACCTCTGTGGCCAGTCCAGACCAGACTGAAATTACGTAAGGAACTGAATGCAGTTTGCTTGGAATAAAGTACGAATATGTTTGTTATTTTTAGGAGATTTAGGTTGAAAACACAATTTACCTACATAGGTGTCAGTTAGTTTAGTTGTAGGTTTGGAGAAGTCAGACCTTTGAATAACATTATAACACCTGGTGGAATAGCATCAAAAACAATAGCAAACTGTTTTGGGCTTATAGGAATCTTAAAATGATACAAAAATTCTTGATACCGGTAATTAAAGAGGTTTCCTTTTTCATTGAAAAGTTGACTTACAAGTGTGATACCATTTCTAAACCAGTTTTCAAAAAACAGAGATTTTTTTCTTATAACATATATCTTTGTTATTCCAAAGAGGACTATGTTTGAAGATCAGTGACCAGGCCAGAAGGGCTTGTTTATGAAAGTTAGAGTGACAGGAATTCGATCAATGTTATAATTACACTGCAAAACAAACTTAAGACCACCTATAGAGAACAAGTAGTGAGGAATAAAATTTCAGATTGAGGTAGGAGTTTTAAGCAATTTTTAATCCAGTTCACTTTAAATGTATTGCTGATTGTTGTAAAGTCGAGAAAGTTAAGACCTCCTGCATCATAACTATTCATTAAAACAGAATTTTTATTGTAATGAGTTTTGTTTTTCCAAATAAAGTTACATAGTGTCCTATCAATTTCTTTGCACATCTTTTGGTCAACAGCCAGAGAAACAGCCGCATAGGTTAGTCTGGATATTCCTTCAGCTTTAGAAAGTAATATTCTGCCCTGATGGGATAAATCTCTTTGGAGCCATGAATTAAATCTTTTCTTTGTTCTTTCTAAAATTGGGCTAAAGTTTAGGTCACATCTAGTGTTCTGTGTTTTGGTTAACGTTATTCCTAAGTAATTAATGGTTTCTTTAATTGGAATATTGCAGAGATGAGAGAGTTCACATTTCTTAACAGCAATTAATTCACATTTGTTCACATTTAAGTAAAGACCAGAGGCCTCAGAAAATACTTTTATCAATTCAAGTGCTAGAGAAACTTCAGAAGAGTCTTTTAAGAACATTGTTGTATCATCAGCCAATTGGCTGATGATAATTCTTTTGTCCAGAACTGACATTCCACCCAATTGACTATTTATTATGTGACTAGCCAATAGTTGAGTTGATAACAGAAATAAATAACGGGAAATGGGACAACCTTGCCGTATACCACATTTTAAGTCGAATCTTGTGGATGTTCCGTTTTTCAATTTGACTGAACTATTTACATTATTATATAATGTTTTAAAAGTACTGCAGAAAAAAATGACCAAAACCAAATATGCCTACTTCTTCTTCACGTCGAAGCCATGGGTTCAGTGATGTATTTAATTTTTTTTTTTAATGAACTTTATTTAAACAAAGTAAGAACAAACAAGTAAGGCAATAACAATATTACAATTCT